CCCGGGGGGGGCCTGGGGGGGGGGGGGGGTACGTGATTGAGACTACGGACCTCGATCGAGGGTGGGCCTGGCTCGTACTATAGCACCCCGGACGCAATAACAACACGACGGACCGGGAACTTGCACGTACTACAGCAGCAACCACATGGCAGCTAGAGTGTGAGGCTACAGGTACTGTAGCAGCAACTACAATCACGGGCTGAAATGCGATGAGTCCCCTCCCCCCACAAAACATTTCCCCTGCCACGAAACACAAAAAAAAGGGTGTCGTGTGACCGCAGCTCCCTCCTGTGTGATGACCCCGGCCTACACGTCAAGAACACCGAAAGGTGTGCATACTGGAACGAACACACAAAAACACACGCCGAACACGAAAACCCATTCAACCCCCATCACACACGCGGAGTTTGCGGTGGGCTCGTCTTCAAGACACTCACGTGGAGTTCGCCGTGTGCTCGTGCTACACCCAACAACGATGACGCCTTTCAACCCCCATGACCACTCACGTGCCGTCCGCGAATGGCTCGTACGTACCACACCGAAATCCGAAAACCACCTTTCAAACCCCATCGCCACTTACGTGGAGTTCGGGGTGGGCTCGTGCCACACGGGAGAGGAAAAAGCCTCCGCGGCTCTGTCGGCCTCGTAAGACGTAGCGAACTTCCCGCACACCAGGGGGGTAGGCACTTGGTCCTGCAGCGGAGCGGTTGTGGTCGTGTTTGGAAGGCATGTTTCGTTTGGGGGGGCGGGGGGGGGTGTACTCATAGTCGTGCATGCCGTAGTCATTAGACCATTGACCTCGCATCCCTACAAAGCCGGGACGGAGCACGCCGGGTTCTCACCGGACCAGGGGGGGCAAGGGGACGGGGGGTCGTGCAGAATACGCTATGTTACATGTTATGGGCGCCGTGACTTATGTTTCATGTTAAAGCAGCAGTGTAGTGACGCCACTCCCCAGACACACGACGGGGGGTACGCGGCTGAGCAAGGCGTGGGAGGGACGGGAAGCAGCAGGAGTGTGGTGGGATTTGGGAGTTGCTAGTACGGAGGACGGACGGGGAGATCGAGACTGTGTGGGCACCGACGACGCCCCCTGGTATGATCAACTCTGCGTATCCCCTCCCGCTGATGCAAAGCGCCAAGAGAGAGAGAGAGGGGACGGGAAAAACACACTGAAACGAGACAGAAAAGCCGAAAAGAAAAAGTAGACCTATCCATACAAAGAGAAGCACAGGTGTCCACGGAGAGAGCGAGAGGGAAGAGAAAAATCGACGCAGCTACCCCCGGAAAACTGAGGGATTCCACCCGCTTGTGGTTTGCAGCACACAGCTGAAATCGGGCAAGAGAAAGAAAGAGAGAGAGAGAGAGAAAGAGGAAAGCAGACATGTGGCCATGCTGAGGAGCAAAGACCTGCACAGCTTCATCGCCATACCGGCTCCAAAACTTCCGAAACATCTGCGTGAGGCTCAAACACCCACAAAAGGGCAGCAGTTGTTATTCCGGCTTACAGACAGCACGCCTTCTCCTTGCCCCCACGCCGGCCCACCTGCTTGTTGTACTTGAACACCGTGAGAGTGAAACCGCCGCCGCCCCCGTCCAACTCCTCAACCAAGTGCGGAGTGAGCTCGCGCACCGGTTGCGCCGCCCGCGACATCTCCGTCAAGCGCGCCACTGCTGCCTCTTCCTCCGAGGCCCCGGAACCCTCGCCCCGCAACGACCTCTTGCCTCCTCTCTCCGCCGTGCCGGGGGAAAGGCCAAGCGCCGTTAACCCCGCCGGTGCTGCTGCTTCCGCCGCAGCCTCGCCACCCCCGGCGGCGGCGGGGCTTAGAATCGGCGAGGGGCCTTGAGACTCCGCGGCTCCGGCTTCGGTCCCCGCAGCAGCGAAGTCTCCCTCAGGTTCTTGATCTCGTCTTCGGCTTCGGCGCTTGATCTTCGTCCGCCACCCCTTCCCTCGCTGCCTTGCCGCTGACGTAGCCGGGGCTCCTTCCGTCGCCGCCGCCTCCATTGCCGCCGCCATCGCCGCCGCCATCGCTTCAGCATCGCGGCTACCGCTACCCCCCGCCAGCAACGGCGACGGAGCTTGGCCCTCCTCGGTGGAAGGAAGCTGGCGAGGGCGGATGCGGTTAGTGCTTACAGGGGGGGGTACCGTCCGCTCTGCGGTGCTCCCCCCCGGGGCTCGAGGGAGAAGGAAAAAAGAAGACTTCGATTCTTCCACGCCTTCACCCGGCTGCTTGCACTCCCGCCCCCCCCCCAACCACCTGGTATCCTCCTGCCCCCGCCCCTCCAGCCAGTTCGGCCGGCAGCTTTTCTCCTCCTCGCCCTTCTTATCCTCCTCTCTCCGCCCCTCCAGCCAGCTCGGCCGGCAGCTCTTCTCCTCGCCGTCACCCTGGTAGTCGCCCTCCACCTTCTCTTCACGGAACAGCCCCTCGTGTTCTCCCGAAAGAAGCGCCGCTAGGGCCGCTTCTTGGGCCGCCGTTCGCCCCTCCCCGCCGCCGCCGCCGCCGCGGCCGCCTCCGCCTCCGCCTCCGCCTCCGCCGCTGGCAACGACCCTTACCCCACCGGGGTTTGTAGGGGAGAACGAGGGGGCCGGGCTGATGGCGAAAGGAGGGGTCGGGGTGCCTCGCTCGGTGGAAGAGTTGCCGCCGCCGTTCTTAGCGCGCTCCACATCTGCTTGGGGGCGCAAGAGGCTCTGTTCCATCGTGGGACAAAAAAGAAAAAAAAAGAAGGAGTGCCGCAATGCAACATGTGTTCGGGGGGGGGGGGACGTTGGTCGGTATCGTAGGCCAGTGCGGGATGTATGGATTCACAAAACCGGGCCGCCGAAAAATTGGTCAAGCCGGTGACGGCAGTGGCGGGGAAAACAGCGTCGTCATTTTCCCAGCGGAGTTGATCTAGCGTTGGGCGCCGTCGTGTGTGTCACCGGCTGCTTCTTGGACGCAAGACGTGTCATCCGTGGCCCACCAAAGAGTGTCGTAAATGTCTTTGTTCGAGGAGGGGGGGGGGGACAAGTCGCACTTTATTTCCACCTTCGTTTGTGCCAAATTTCGTGACACGCATAAAACACACTTGTATTGCGGCAGGACTCTTGTCTGTTAAATAATGTGTTGACTCATATGGTATTGGCTGTTGCTGCTACTGGTGCTGTTGCTGTTGTCTTCACACACGACAACTGAACCAGCACGAGCAGAGAAGTTGAACCCCGTGGTCCTGACGTGACATGCAACAAGAGACACGAGGATACCGAACCAGACCCAATGACCGCTAGCGCCATACCCTACCCCATCACGTGACATGCATCAAGAGATACGAGGATGCCGAACCAGACCCCCATGACAGCTATAGCGCCATACCCTACCCCACCACCACCTCCCATACAGAGCCAAGCCGCAATTCTTCTTTCCGCCACGCGACCAGAATAAGAGAAGAAAAAAGTGGGTTTCCCGGACAAATATCTCCGGACGAGATAATTGAGTCGTGCTCATCTGATCCAAAGATAGAAAAGAAAGAAAGGCAACTCGAGAAACAAGGAAGGAAAGACAGAGAGACAGAAAAGATACGCAACAAAAGCAAGCAAGAAAGAAGAAACGAATGACCCCGGGCACCTTCATCGCGCCGAACACCTTGAAGCGGCCGAACCCTTTCCTCTTCCCTACCGTCGCCCCCGCCGCCCCCCCGGCGGACGACAACCCGTAGACGCCGCCGCCGCCGCCGCCGCCGCCGCCGCCGCCGGAGATGGAGCTGCCGGCGGGACTGCCGTCAGTCCAACCACCTGTACCGCTACTGGTGTCACCACCGCCCGAGTCCGTGGCGCTCCGCACGGCCGCCCTGTCGTACGGTACGTAGCCGAGATCTTCGCGAAGCAAGAGGAGAGCGGGCGGGAGGACGGGCGGTGTGTGGGGGGGCATCTCATGTTTTGCATGCCTGGGGGGAGAGAGGAGCTGGTCGGGGTCTTCTCGAAAGAATAAAAAGTGTTAGACAGCGAGGGGCGAACATGCGGGCGGGCGGGTAGGCGGGGAGCGGGAGAGGGCCGGGCCGGGGGTCTTCTCGAAAAACAAACATGTGGCAGACAGCAAGGAGGCGAGCATGCTAGGCGGGCGGGAGGGACGTTTCGCACGCCTCGGCGGTTACACCATTGACAACGCGTCCTAGAGAGGACGGAGAATTGTTACCGCAAGACCGATCACCGGTGTCGGAAGGGGGGTTGGGGGGAGGAGCGGACCGAAAAAAGGTACCATTCGGGCGGTATGCGCTGCAACACGCTGTTCGCGAAAGACACGTTTCTTCCGGAACAGGTTTTACTGCATACCCACAAAAGCGCACCACACACAACCTTTGGCGTTTCGTTTTTTCAAAAGGCGACTTAATTCTTCATAGAAAGGAGAGTGTCAAAAGGTTTGGCATGGAAGGGTTTTATCGAAACCTTCGCAAGACAGAAGTACGTCGTTCTTCGCGGTCAACCTCGCTGACGCAGAAAATTCGAGCTACCAAAAACGGTGCAAAGGGGGTGTCGTATCTCGTGTGGAACGCGGCAGTCCCGTACGGTATCAATCTTATCAGCAGCGACAGAATGCATCACGCAGCAGACACACGTCTCCCTTCAGCGCTTCTTCCTACGTAACTGCCCGCCTCTCATTCTATCGTCTCTATCGTCCCGCAAACGCTTGAGACAAGCCATTCGACCGGCCGGCTCAGCTGCACCGCGACCTTCAGACGCTTCGCCAAGCCGACTGCGACAATACTTGCAAAAGAACCACAAATCGCGAAAAACAAGACACGCAATAGAAAAAACACCGGCGGCCGCATGCATGTATCAGGACAAGCGAAAGATTGACTGACGAAGTAAGGGAAATCTGTGTTTTGTGAGAAGCGGCAGAAATAAACCGTTGGCCAATCAGAAAGCAGGAAGCGGACGAGCGTGTTGATTCCTGTTTTCAGTATATACTCGCTTCGCCGTGTTTAACCGGGGGCGAGCGAGAGCACGTGTGTGTGCTTGTGGTGGCCAAGGGTTGTTTCTGCCGTGACGTTTCTTTCTGCCGTGACGTTTCTTTTTTTTTTTGACGTTTCGAGCGAGAGCACGTGTGTTTTTTTCTTTCGCGTTCCCTTCTGTCTCCGGGGCGATATGGATTCGAACCCGAATCTCGGAAAAGGGCCTGCCGACGGTATTCGTACGTCGGTGGATGACTCCATCGACGGCGGCGGCTGCAGCGGGGGCGGCGGCGCCCCTCCCTCTGCCGCGGTGGCGGGCGCGGCTGCCGCCATGGTGTTGGCAGCACAGCAGGACCCGTCGGGCCCGCCGCCGCAGCAACAGCAGCAGCAAACGCAGCAGCCGCAGCAACTTCAACGTCAGCAGCGGGACGCAACAGCTGGAGCCGTCGCCGCGGCGGTCAGCGCGGCTGAGGCACGGCTGGCCGACGGCATGGCTGGTTTATCCGTGGAGGGCCCCGGTGGGTCGTCCGCCGGGGCCGAGGGGGACAACCGGGGTGCCGGTGCGGCGTTGGAGGCGCCGGGTGGGTCGCAGCTGGTGCGGCTGCAGCAAGATAACGAGAATCTTGTCTCCAAAGTGTCCGCTTTGGAGCAATCGTTGCAACAGTTGTTGAACGACCGAGCTGGTGGGGCGGGTTCGCACGTGGTCGGCCCGCAGGATGCTGGTGGCGCGGCGGACGCCGCGGTGGCGGTCAGTGTGGGTCTCGGTGCCGCTGCCGCTCCGGGATCGGACGCTGATCGCCGGCGTCGCTTCGCCAAAGCAGAATTCGAGAGCACGGCTTCCGCTTGGCGTGCGGGCCGTTTGATGTGGGCGCTGCGTGGCATGCGGGGAATTGACGTTCCCAACAAAGAGACCCTGCAAACGATGCTGGGAGGGACTGTAACCGGCACCGATAAGACCCTGCAGCAGCTGCGCACCATGTCCGGACTCAACGTCCTCGACTTCATTCCCGTGGGCAATTCGGGTGAGCTGGCGGTCCCGGACCATTTCGACTTGACGTGTGCGTCGATAGTTAGTGTGTTAAAATTTGGGCTCTCTGCCACCTCTGCGGACAACGCCGCAGCTCTGGCGCGCTTGCTGCCCATGGAACAGGCCATGCTGTCGGCGCGGGGTACGTTGCGCATGCAAGTCCTTCGGAACATGGGTGATTTCCAGGGAAGGGGGTCGCGGGGGACCTTCGCCGACCTCCCCAACGACGACTTTCGTGAATGGGCCAATGCGGTAATGTTGTGGATGTTACCGATGCAGAATTTGCCGGTGCCGCCGGCGTCGTTCGAGAGCTTTGGCCCCCCGCCGGTCCCTCGCTTCGGCGGCATCCGCGGCTTCTCCATGTCCGGAGGCATTGCGCTCCGGATGTTCGGGACGGCGGGTGGTGGCGGTTCTGCTGGATCGAGTGGGGGTAAGCGGCGGCGGGGGGACTCCCGTTCCGGGGGCGGGGACTCCAAACGCCGGTCGAAAGTGTGTTTCGAATATCGCGACTCCCAAACGTGCAGGTGGGGCGACTCCTGCGTGTTCCGCCATGCGGCTGGGGGCGGCAAGGGTGGCGGTGGCGGCGGCGGCGGTGATGGTGGCCAGGGTGGTCGTCCGGGCGGCGGTGGGGGCCGTGCTTCGGGCGGGGGGGGGGGCTCGGATGCCGCGGCCGATGGTGGAGGCGGCTCGTCGGCGCTGGTCGTTCGCCGGGGAGGGGGCCGCAACTGAGGACACGGGCTCTGCCTTTCGGCGGGGCCAACTCCGGACGTGTGTGGGAGCGTAGATCAGACAGCGAGGCCGGGTTCCCGCGCGCTTGGGGCCGCGGCGTTGGCGGCGGCGGGCGTGGGCGTCGATCGAGGGGCGTGTGTGCCCGGAGCTGTCTCTTCGATGTTACCAGGTGACGTCTCGTTTAGGTCGGTTGCAGGTTCGCGTGAACTTGGCGTGTGGCGATCTCGTGTGTCTGCTTTAGCGGCGGTGTGTTCACCCTCCGACATGGGTGTGGGTCTTCGTGAGGTGGCTTCCGCTGGTTCCGCCTTGCTTAGACAGTGTGGGGGGCGCATTGAAGTGCTCGTGGCGGCCGGTGGTGCCGGCTTCTTTGCGCCCCATGTTGATGTTGCGTCGGTTCGTGAATTTTTTGGAGTCGCGAAACGTTTTCCGCACATTGACAACCTCCTCCGTGTGTTGTGTCCTGGCGCCCCCGTCGATGTGGCGCCGGGGGGGTGTCTCGACGCCGAATTAAAATACGGCAATCATTCCAGCATTTTACCGTACACTTCGCACATTACTGACAAGATCGTTTCGGATGTTACGTTAGGTCGTGCTCTTGGCTTCGACGTGCAGTTCATCCGTGAAATTTTGGGTGTGCGTGTTTCCCCCCTTGGGGTGGTGGAAGATCCGAAATTCCGCATCATTCATGATCTCACATTCACAGCGGCTGGTGCGTCGTCTAGCGTTAATGCAGATACAGATTTTGATCGTGCCCCCGAGTGTCTGTTGGGACATGTGCTTTTCGATATCTTGTCGCGCGTATTGTTTTTGCGCCAATTGCACGGGCCACATCTCGAGATTCTGTTATGTCGTATTGACGTACGTGAGGCTTTTCGTCAAGTGTTGGTCGACCCTTCGAGGGCATCGGTATTCGGATACACGATGGGGGGCGTGGTCGTTATTGACCTTCGTTGCCAGTTTGGCTGGCGTTCGAGCCCAGGTTTTTGGTCGCTGTTCGGTTCCGCTCTTGAGCATGAACACACCCACACTACTTTTCAGACAGCTTCTGTTTTGCCTGCCGGCGTTGCGGCGGTTGATCATGTTCAGCTTGTTCCTCCCCAACACCTCCCCGTTTCGCTACCGCGTGATTGTGCCCAAATTACTATGGAGGGCGGTTTCGCTGGTTCCGCGTTTTTCGTTCGATATTATGTGGATGACGGCGTGCTTGTCGAGGCGCGGTTTTTCAAGGATGGTCGTCGTTGCTTACGTGCAGTGCAGTCGATCGCGTCGGACCATTTCCGCCTGCTGGGACACCGGGGGCCACACGATCCTCCGTTGCTGTCTGCAAAGAAGATAACCGATTTTTCTACACGTTTGGAGGTGTTGGGATGGATTTTGGACACGCAAACTCTCACAGTGACCATGCCTCTGCGAAAACAACAGAAATTACATCGTTTGTTGGGCGAGTGGCCGCGGTCGCGTCTGTGTGCGACCGCCCGCCCAAGTCGCGGAATTGACCGGTTTTCTTCTTCACGTGTCTTTTGCCTTGCGTCCAGGCAAATATTTCGTCGGCTGTCTGTTGGCTGATGTCGGCATGCCGCAATCCGACGTGTTTCCTTCGCGTGTTTCTAACCCCGCTCGGCGTGTCGTGTTGGGCCCCATGTTTCACGATGATTTGGATTTTTGGCGCTGGTTTGTGCAGCGAGGTCTGGCGTCGCGTGGCGGACAGTTGTGTGCACCGATGTACAATGTGGTGCTTCGCCCTCCGGTAATGGCCGTGTTTGCCGATGCGTCCAAAACAGCGTTCGGAGCATACTGTGTGCAAACTGGGTGTTATTTCCGGCGTGATTTGACGTGTGACGAGCAGTCCCGTTTTGTGGGGTCTAGCAAGTCTGTATCCGCGTGTCCCGATGTCAGTATCAATGTTCTTGAGCTACTCGGCATGGTCGCTGCGGCGTGGGTGTTGATCGTGCAACAGCGTCACGCGCCGGTGTCGGCCGGTGACTGCATCCAGTTGCGAGGAGACAATGAAGCGAGTGTGGCATGGATTGAGCGGTGTCGCGGAGGCAAGGAGCCGCGGTCCGGCGCGCTCATGCGGATGCTGGGGGCGATTGAGGTGTCTAGCGGGTGGCTTTTCCAATCGTCCCATGTGCCTGGTGTGCTCAATTCGCTTGCCGATGGTATTTCTCGCTGGCCCGCCGCTGATGTGTACGACAACCTTTGTGCCGCTGCCCCCCATGTGCG